CCTATCTAAGTAACGATTTGAAATCTTAACTCGTCCTTAACCTTTACGTGGCGTGTAAATTTCTAAGATACAGTATCTCATCGAGCCTACAATAAAACCGCTCGCGTATCTTGTAAACATTATTATCGCCGTTACTATTTTCTTTTGGGGTAGATTTCTAGATTATTATCAGGTCGTTGGCTCCAAAACGAACAAGATGACTGTTGGGTGTATTTAAAAAAACTGTGACGGTCCCAATAGGTACCTATTAAGTATCTCTAACGCATTTTCATGCTGAAATACTTAAAACACACGTCAACAAACTCCTTCAATTTAACCATGCAAGTACGACAGCGTGTGTAATAGGTACAAAAATTATGTAAATAAGTGGCATGTTTGATTAACCTGAATGTATATAACAATCGTCTCTAAATTATGATATTTTGATATGTGCCTAACCGGTAACGTTTATTAAGGTGAACTGAATATCTTATAAAAGGGTTGAATTTTGATTGGCACGCATGTTTGTTAGGACGTTTCGCAATACAGGCCCGCAATCCGTTAAGGTATTCAAACATATCACGTCAACAAAGTTTTAAATTGTTGAGCAAATAATGAACAGACAAATGAGTGCTATATTTTCAAATTAATTTATAATAGCGCGAAAGACAAATACGTACGTTTTAAATCCTTACGAGAGGCATTCGTTTATTTTTTCTAAGTAAATACAAGTAACACTTTTCTCAAGGCTTATTATCAACATAATAGCAGGTACCTACACCTACCTGATACATTAATAAAATGGCAAAAATGTATTTAAAACTATTAGAATGTACCTATGCGTTTTATGATAGTATAATTCTTGCCATTTAGGAAGATTTCCCCATATCAGTTTATATCTGGTTTGATACTGTTGTCTATTTGATTTTTCAGCTCTATCTCTGCAGGTTATAGCAACCTAATCGTAAATGATATGTTAACAGTTAAAAAACATGACTTTAGGATAAAAGGACAGTACGATATGAACCACTACCGAAAAGAGTAGTACTGCACTCAAAAATAAGGCGCCACAGAATTTATTTAACTCGTTAACCGAGAAAACAACCCCAGTATAAGTTAATTAGATTCTTACCTGATTTTTTGGTTCGACGAAGTGTGTGCGTGACGAAACACTGCGGGATAAGATGTGAAGTGTGTTCTTCTCTCTTTTTTTTCTTATTTGAATTTTTAAGTACACAAATAAGTTTCGACGTGGCAACAGCAGTTGATATCATCGGATAGGGCGTCGATATTTGATCAAGGTGACGCGCACGTCGAAGTGAAATAATTGATTGAGAAGTACGAGCAATATTGGACGCCATCTTGGAATCGAAGTGCGCGATAAAATTGATCGTTAATTTATTATTTCACCATAAGCATTCGCACAAACAAAAGAAAAAAGCAAAGGAGAGTTTCCGCAAAAGACGCTCGCTTATCATAACAATATCGCAACACATATACCTAATATCTACTACGTATTGTATCGTACCTACAGGTGTACAGATAAATTATGCAAAGCACCTACTATGTACCTACGTAGGTACTACCTGCTAATATCTATCTGAAAGATTAGATATATATGTTTAAATGTTTGTGAATAGAGATTAAGTAAAATGTACACGATTTTGTTTCTTTTACCGGTGGTTTATGAAAGAAACGTGTGCCATGACGGGTCCTTGCGGTTATTCGGGATTCGGACCTTCAATAGGCATCGGTGCAAAGATCGCAAGGTACAACACTGGTATTTTGAAAGCAAAATGGTACTATTCATAAAATCCAAAACTCACCTGAGACAATTGACAAAATAGGGAAAATTCGTTTGTATTTTTTTTGGTGTTTTTGGTATCTTAGGTACTCGATTCATTCACAGTGTTGGAGAAACTAAATGTCTAAAAGCTGCATTTGTAATATTTGCGTCTAGCCGTTAGGCTGTGATGGTGCACGGTGATATCTATGTATTATTGAAATAAGACTGTTTTTTGCGTACTTCGTCGCGTTCCCCCCTCTATTATTTGATAACAGATATGATATATTGCCCAATAAGTACGAATATCGCGGGGTATGCCGTCTTCGCTGATGTCAATGATATCATTGATTTTAATAAATCATACACATGCATTGCTTTCTAACGGCTTATTTTGTGGACTCGGAATTTAGGCATTTCTATCAAATTTGCCATTTTCGAAACCTTTTAAAAATTATTTGATCGCAAATATCAGTTATTATCGTCTTTTTTCAATCAAAACAACTTTTGGATTTGATGGTGTATTTAATTTTTTAATGCGATGACTTTTTTTAAGTGAAACCCTCAACTTTGACAACAAATTTCTTGCTTTTCTGATGTATCTGCAGTTGAATCCAATTTTCACTCAAAAATACAGCATTTCAGTGGTCTAAAGTTTGGTTATGACCTTCCAATTTTATTCATTACCATTTTCAAAAGAATGAAGCAAGTCTTCAAACTGAAACAAAATTGTTTCAATGCTTTAGAGCTTTCACATAAATGTTTTAGAAACAGTTCTGTTAGGTATTAGATCCTTAAAATGTATTATAGTTACATTGTACTTTGCTATTGCTATTTCAAGTTAGAAATCAAATTTTTGAATTCATTCGTTTATACATATTTCTGTTTCCGTATTTTTTTCGACAGAATTTACCAATCGCGTTTAAGAAAATACTCAAAAAATAAAAGATAACGATAAGTACCCATCACTGAACAAAGGATTTCATAATACTAACGTCGTACCTACGTATTACCTATACAGAATGACAAAAGTATTGGTAATTTATTTGCGACCTTCGAGGCTTAATATCCGCTCATCAATTTATTGCGAGCAAATAATTATTTAGTTATTATTAAAATTCTAATTGATTATTATGGTGTATATGTAGTACCTTTTATTTCTTTCCACTTATTCAATAAGTATAAAAATAGAACCAAAAATATTAGGTAACTTGTAATTGAACATTATTGATATTTAGTAGAGGTATATTTGACATTATTCCCTCAATTTAAAATATATTTGCGTTTTTGCTTTAGGTATAATAATTTCATTCTGTGTATGTAGTTTTTCCGAGCCTTCAAATTTATCTTTTCCGTATAGAAATTATTTAAGTGTAATATTACACTTAAGTTTATAAATCACGCGCTTCAAGTACCTAGTTAATAATTATTATACATTTTTAAATTGCACCAATAAGTTTTTAAAAAAATATGACGCCTTATAAGTAGTAAAATTCCTCAAATTACTTTCAGCTATTTTTTAATATAAATTATGAACTACCCATCTTATTAAAATCTAATAAATGCAGATTGGCACGCATGTTT